TAATCCTGAGACAAAACCTGCCAGGCCTGATCCTAAAGATATGGACGAGGATGAATTGGAAATGTTGGCCGAGGCTCGTGCAAGACTCGCGAATACTCAAGGGAAAAAAGCTAAACGAAAAGCTCGCGAAAAGCAATTAGAAGAAGCACGTAGGCTCGCAGCTTTGCAAAAGCATAGGGAACTACGCGCTGCTGGGATCACAGTGTTGCAAGAGAATAAGCGCATTCGTAAACCTAATTATAATTCTGAAATACCTTTTGAAAAACGCCCTGCTTTAGGATTTTATGATACTTCTAAGGAACAYATAGATCCACTTGCAATAGACTTTTATAAAATGAGACTACAACAATTAGATCGAGATCATAAGCAGGAAAAAGAAGAAATGGAACGTAGAAAAGATAAGCAAAAACTGAAGCAGCAAAAAGAAAATGATATTCCAATGGGAATGCTTAATAATGAAGAACCAGTGAAGAAAAGAAGTAAACTTGTTTTACCCGAACCACAGATCTCTGATCAAGAGTTACAACAAGTGATTAAACTTGGACGTGCATCAGAGGTTGCACGTGAAGTTGCTACCGAAAGTGGAATTACACTATCGGATAGTTTATTAGCTGATTATTCTCTTCCAACAAATGTTGCTGTAACTCCCAGATTTTCAGCTGCGCAAGATAAAATTCTTCAAGAAGCTCAAAATGTTATGACCCTGACACATGTTGATACTCTGTTGAAAGGAGGCTTAAACACATCATTAAATAATTCTGATTTTTCTGGCGTTGTATCTGTAACAAATGCTATTGCAACTCCAAATACTATTCTAGCAACTCCTTTCCGTTCTCAGCGTAGCGATGGAACACCCTTGAATTCGTTTAATACACCAGCATCTTCAYGACAGCAAAATGGAGTTTTGACAACACCAATTCGTGATAAACTTAGCATTAATCCCGACGATGGTATTTCTGGATCAGAAACACCAGTGATACAGAAACAAGCTAAAGAACAATTACGTGCAGGTTTGATAGCATTGCCAACACCACGTAACGATTACGAAATAGTTGTTCCTGACGATGAAACTATAGATGAAAATACCTCTAATCCTGCAAATGGCATAGTTGAAGATCAAGCTGATATAGATGTTAGACAACAACAAGAATTGTTGGAACAAAAGAAAAGGGAATTCGCTCGTAGATCACAAGTTATACAACGGAATTTGCCAAGGCCAGTTGACGTTAACATGAATATTTTAARGCCTTTCATGGATACTCCACTAACGGATATGCAACGAGCAGAAGAGYTAATTAAAAGGGAAATGATTACAATGATGCAATATGATGCGCTTCAAAATCCTATGCAACAGAATAGAAAGAGTGCTTCCAACTCTTTAGCGCAAGCACAAGCGTATCTCGAACAACATCCTTATATAAATTTTGAGGAAGAGGAATTGAATGCAGCGAAAAAATTACTCACCGATGAAATGAATGTTGTTAAGGATGGTATGGCGCATGGAGATTTAAGTTTAGATGCATATACAACGGTATGGGAAGAATCTTTATCGGAGATATTATATTTGGAAACACAAAAGCGGTATACAAGAGCAACCTTAGCCTCCCAAAAAGATAGAGTAGAAGCTTGTGAAAGAAAATTAGAAGAAAATCGGATGCATATGACTGGTGAAGCTAAGAAAGCTGCTAGAATGGAAAACAAATTGAAAATTTTAACAGCAGGATATCAAGTAATTATTTAATGTATATAGTTAAATGTATAGTTAAATATTGACATTAATTACAATCTTAACATGATATTTTTTTAGACCAGGGCACAAGTCTTAATTAAACAATTACACGACTCGTGGGAACAAATAGGAGAAGCCCATTTGGAACTTTCGACATATAAATTTTTACAAAATCAAGAGGAAGCAGCAGTTCCGAGGAGAGTCAATGCTCTTATTGACGATGTTAACAGACAAGCTGAACGTAATCGTATATTACAAATGCGACATGCACAATTGCAAGATAAACGTCTGCAATGTTAATTACTACAATTGTATTAATTTTTAACATACTATTTTATATATATTTATTTTTAACATAATATTTTAAAATGTATATGGGATATGAGTATGCTTAAAACTTTATTAATCGTTAAAAAAAAAAGTGGATGTTGCGTATGTGGATAGTTGCATGTTGATGTAATCATATTAAAATATGTATATATTTTAATATATTAAGGTTTACTTAAAGTGTAAAAGTGCTGTAGATATTAAAAGGAATGAAATAAAAACTAGAAAAGGAAAAAAATAATACTGACAATTCAAAACAATAAACCCATAATTATTGAAATTTTTTTAAATTAATAATATCTACTTCTTCTAAATACCAGAGCATTTTTTTAAAATAATCTTTTATTTACATAAAATTTCAGAATTAAATTTAAAACAATTTATATATAATCAACTTTTGTTTATTTATATTACTTGCTACTAATGTTAACATATATAACATGCCAACATATATATTATATTACAATTAATAATGTCGAAAATACAGATCTTTTTCTTTTTGTATACTTATTGTACGAATACTATTGTTGCCCACTGTATATAATCTTTTACATATATTTGCTTCCATTTTTTTGTATTTTTTCCTTTTATTTCTAAGGGAAATTACCAAACAATTATTGAATAAACTGTAAAATTTTTTTCATGCTTACTAATTTATTTTATTTTTGTTATTAAATTGTAAATTGAAAAGTGATAGTTATCTTTGTGATATTATTTCTAAAAATATTCAATGAAAACGAGTAATTACTACAGATAATGAAGATAGTAATAGCGATTTTTATGAAATTGTTTTTTCACTTCGGAAGCAATGTAAAATCATATCTGATAACAAGGAAGAATGTAAAAATAAGGATTGCGAAATTAATCTTATATCTCTAAGGAATGTATATGGAAAGACATTGAAAATATAAGCAAAATATGGCAATATTCACGAATTTCTGGAATAAACATAATAGTTGAACAAAATGTCATTTGCTTTACAAATGGTAACTGTTACAATACTTTTGGAAAATCGTTACGAAAGAATCTAATCATTACGCGAGTCAAACCATCTAATTGTAAGATGAAATTCGGAAATTAAAAAAGTTTGAAGATAATGTAAGAGGTAAAAATATAAATGAAATAATTGTTTATTTTGTTTCATCTATTTGATGTTACGAGTGAAAAAATGAAATGTTCAATATTATTGGTCTAACAGAAACATAATTGAGGATACCATTTTCCGAAAAACAATGCCATTTTGGAGATTTGTCCAACTTTCTCGCTGTTTACATTTCACTAACAACGAAATTGTAGACAACAATAATGGTCTTTTATATAAATTGCGAAATATGATCGACTATTTAAATGAAAAATTTAAGACTATTACAGTCCCGAAGAATATGTGTTATTAGATGAATCTCTAATGAAGTATACAGGCTGCATGTCATATAAGCAGTAGAATCCATTGAAAAGAGCACGCTTTTGGAGTAAAATTTTATAAACTGTATGAATCAAAATCAGGATGCTGCATTCAGTTTAAAATATACACGGGTCAAGATACTAATAAAAATTCACTAATATAAAAACTCAAAACACAAACTATACGAACCAATTATAAAATTTAGTGTTTTTCTGATACAGAAGAAAAAAAAAAAAGATAGTATGAAGAACTCAAACAAATGTACATCGTCTTGCTATGAAAAAAATTAAAAGATATGGATATGAACCTATATAATTATTAAGGTGCAGTACAGCCAACAAATAATATAATAAAGAGATAGGACAAAAAATCGATAAAAATATTGACGTAAAACGCTCGAAGAAAAGATTATATAATAATATCACGAACGGTTTTTAGACCTAGCCGACATATTAAAAGCAAAATATCAACAACAAAATTTTATGAAAAGAATAAGATAACTGCACCATATTCTATCGATATTCAATTTAATAGAAGTAAATGCTTGACTATTATATATGTAACTCTTAACTTCAAAAATATGTAGCATAAATAATTAAAAGATTCTGTATAATACGAGAAGCAAGAATTAATCTAGTTTCGTAGTCTTTGAAATAGAAATTGCTTCTTACTTATGTAAAAAAATAAAAAATGTAAAAGAGAAGAAATTCTATTTCACTTTTTACAGCAGCACAATAGTAAAAATGATGAAAACAAAAAGGAATAAATGCAGTTATTTTAATAAACAATGGGCCAAAGAATAAAATATCTTACTAACCGAGTCTTGTCTATAAGAGAAAAAATGATCAAATACCAAAACGTAAAGATGTTTATAAAATAATATCTTCCAAATATAATAAAGTAATCTCCGTTTAATTCAAAACGCTAATTGTTTTCTACAGATATTTATAAATAAAATATATATGAATAAATATATCCCAATAAAACTTTAAAATTACAAATTGTCTTAGTAATTGTAAGAAATTTTTAAATTCGTAAAAATTACTTCCTAGTTTATATCAAAATGATCACATGCGTTAATTTCATGTTTCGCGGGAGTTTCTTCCTTTATTTTCCAAATCTCCTTAAAAATCGAAACCAAAAACAAAAAATAATTATGTTACTGTGTTCTAGAGGTTGAATATGTACTCATTATATTTCATTTTTTGATACTCTTGTCTAGAACTATAATATTCACATAAGTTTCACAGGGAATTTTGGACGGTTATTAAATCTTTATGAACGATTTATTTCGATCCAGTTGTACGTTTCGTCCCTTTCTTGGGACTTCATCAGCAACTAAAAATTTTTTATTATGACTTGTTAATCAATGTACAAAACATTACAATGAATTAAAACGTTATTTTTATACCTCGATCGTTACAGTTCACGAGTCAAAATACATTTTAAATTGTTTAGAATATGTCTAGGATAAACTTGTTTATATTTACAATTTAATAAGAATATGAGTCGATTTTTATATGCTGACAATGTTTAAATGCCCTACAAGCAGAATCACATCCGTATATAAGAGAAACGGATATTTTAATCAAATCTCTTAAACAGAAGATCGTTAATTTAGAAATAAAGATCACAGCTAGAAAAATTAGAACAATGGAAAAAAACACATGTAATTATTTAGAAAAGACATTAACAATGAAAGATTTTACAAATTGCACAATATTTTTTAAACAAAAATACGAATATAAATTTAAAAACATAAAAGATAATAACATAAAAAAATTAAATAATTTATTAAAAGATAACTCACACAGCAATAACAATATTAATAGTCAGAATACTTGTGTATTTAATTTTACGGATGTAAGGCTACCGAAAGAAGTAGAAAAAATACTAAACCTAGAACCAGGATATGGTATTCCATTAAGACCTAAAGAAGTGCCAGTAGGCACTTTAATAAAAGATCTAGAAAAAGGCATAAAAAATATTAACATCGAAAATGTTGACACAAAAATAATAAAGGATGAACAAAATAATGTAAGGTCAAAAGCGGTGAGAATAATTTCGAACTATTACAATAAAAACCAAAAACTATGGAAGAATGAAACAAAAGAAAACTATCTAACAACAAAACGTTTCTTGAAACAGAATCCGAACTTAATAATAACAAGATCGGATAAAGGAAACAACACAGTTATCATGAAAAAGGAGGAATACATCAAAGAAATGAAAAAACTGTTGGAAAATAGAAACACCTACAGTATATTAAGCAAGGATCCTACCAACAAATTTGAAAAATTGGCGAATAATTAAATAATCGAATTACAAAATGAATCCATCATCTCAGAAGAAATGGGAAAAAACCTGAGATCTTATAATTCAGTCGCGCCAAAACTGCATGGATTAAGGAAAACTCACAAAAAAGAATGCGCTTTAAGACCGGTTGTGAGTTCCATAGAGTCACCGTGCTATAAATTAGCAAAATTTGTACATCAGACGTTAACAAAAACTATCTCAAACAAACTTGTCTTTTCCATCAAGAATTCGTTTGAGTTTGCGGAGTTTATAGGAGAAACAAAATTACCAGAAGGATACATACTTGTGTCATTAGATGTAATCTCCCTTTTTACCAACATTCCAAAAGAACTGGTATTAAAAACAATCAATGAAGATTGGAAAGAACTAGCAAAATCCATAAAAGTCCCGAAGAATATCTTGGTGGAACTAATACAATTTTGTTTTGAATCGAGCTACTTCCAGTTCAACGGGTCTTTTTACCAACAAATGGATGGCTCTAGCATGGGTAATCCAGCGAGCCCAGTGCTACCCAATCTAGTGATGAATTATATCTTAAAAAAGATTGAAGGCATGTTACCCTTTCCAGTTCCTTTCCTGAAGGTTTATGTTGATGACGTTGTCACAGCAATACCTAAAGATGGAATGGACCAAACACTGAAGACCTTCAATAGTGTCAATAATAAGATCCAATTCACAATGGAGGTAGAAAATAATGGAACCTTACCCTTCCTAGATATGAACATTATAAGAAATGAAGACGGTTCCATTGTAACAAACTGGTATGTGAAACCTACAAGCTCTGGTAGATGTATAAATTATAATTCGAATCATCCAATGAGCCAAAAAATTGGGGTCATTAAAGGTTTATTATTTAGAGCACTGACATTAAGTAGTAAGAAATTCCATATGGAAAATAAGAAAAGAATAGAACTAATCTTAAAAAATAATAATTACCCAACGAGTCTCATACACATGGTGTTTAATAAGTTTAGATTAGTTAAAGAACAGGAAAAAAAACCAGACAACAACAAAATTATCAGATTCCCGTTTATCAAACCTTTGTCAAATAGAATAAATAAACGTTTCAAAAATACTAATGTCAAGCTGGTATTTTATAACTAAGTAAAAATAAATTCAATATTTACAAAACTAAAGGACAAGGTTGATAAACTAGAACAATCAAACTTAGTTTGCAAAATACCATGTGAATGTGACAAATGTTACATAGGGCAAACCAAACAAAAATTAAAAAAAAGATTAAACCAACATAAAAATGACTGCAAACCTACAAATGTAAATAAAACTAATACCACAGCGTTAGCTGCACATCATCTCACAACAGGACATAAATTCAAATTTGAAGAAACAACCATTTTAGACAGAGGAGACAATTGGTACAAAAGAAATATAAGCGAAATTTACCACATAATAAATAACAATACAGTTAAATACAGAACAGACACGAATAATTTAAATAACATCTATAACGAAATTTAAAAATTTAATTATCATAACAGGACACATAAATAGAGGACATCATAATACTGAAGATACCTAGATTATTAAACACTAGTCTAGATAAAATCAGTAGTATTTGATTAGGTGTGATAATATAAAGGTGTTTAGGAAGAAATTGTATTGTAAAATGTTAAGTGTAGTTGAAATGTATGACTCTGAAAAAAAGATAAAATGTATATTGACTCGTTAAATGTAACGATCGGGGTAGAAAAAAAATAACGTTTTAATTTATTGTAATGTTTTGTACATTGATTAACAAGTCATAATAAAAAATTTTAGTTGCTGATGAAGTCCCTAGAAAGGGACGAAACGTACAACTGGTTTAAAATAAATCGTTCATAAAGATTTAATAACCGTCCAAAATTCCCTGTGAAACTTATGTGAATGTACTCATTATGTTCAGACATATTTGTTAGGTTTTTAATTTCTATTCAGGAATTTAACACTAGTTTTTATCTTTTGCAGATATTGTTACATCTTTTCTTATAGCTTTACTTTTTGGTCGAAAAATTTGATTGCACAAATATACCATGTATCGTACTGTCTAGTTAAGTTTGAATTAAATTTTTAATTCTTATTTTTAACCTCTTGAACTACAATATCGTGTGAGACTCTTTGTAAAGGAATCTGGTCAAAAATAAAAACTAAAAGTGAAAGTTATTGTACTTTCGTTGAAAAGCAAATGTTAAACACGGATCAGATTTGTATTCTGTCTCTTCTTGCTAAATGTAAATAACACGAATCATCTTTCAAGACACCACGAAATAAAGATGCAGTTTTAAACCACGCTTGACCTCATTTTATTATTAAATGAAACATTGCATATAATTACACTGCATCCCCAGCGGAAACACAAGGATTATGCAGTTTGTTCTAACCGAAAAGTTCCAGGTTGTTGAAAAGAGACTTCGTATATGCGACAGAAAACCGGGATTGCATGATAGAGAATGATTTAAACGATATCAAACGTTGATTAATTACAATCTGTAAACAATATAAGATAATGTTTAAAAAATCTTACAATTTTATTTTATACATCTACTAATTCATAAGTACTGTGACGTCCTGCTACTTTTTATATTATATTTTTCCACCTTAAAGACACTCACGCGCCTACCGCCTGATCTTTTATTAATTATTCCACTCTCCGTTTTTTTTCTTGTTCAATAGCGGGAATAAAAGACAAGCGAAACTTAATCCTATAGTTGTTATAAGAAATATGCAAAACTAATTATTGGAAATAAAAATGAATCTTTAATTTCTGTCGATAAAAACGAAATTCACAGCGATAACTAAGAACATTATTTTTAGTTTCAATACGGCAAGCGTATCTGTACTTATTTTGGTTTAAGGAGTCATAAGACCCAAACTTCAAATGTTTAGCCGACCTGCGCTACCTGCGAAGCACTATCGACATAAAACTCCCATCGCTTACCTTTTTGTAATTCTTGTTTGTAATTCTTCCGATATGTCTTATCTCCATTTATATCATAAATACCTCAACTTTCTAAGAAATAGATAAGTCCCAGATGTGAAAAATAACCAAAAGGACCCACGTGTTTCCTACTACGTCCCACCACTGAATTTTACGAACAACCCCATAGTGGGGTAGCCACGAAAAGAAGAGCCTGCGTGCTCAAAGTTAACTCTCTTTAACAATAACTCTCTTTTAGCTCTCTTTAGCAACAGTTCTCTTCTCTTTAGATACAGTTTAAATACAGATTAGTCTATCTTAATTTGGTCTCAATTTTATTTCTAATTTTGTATCAATTTAATGCCAATAAGTTTTCTAAATTCTCGACTTCGTTTCTTCCTATTTGGTATTCACTGCGTCCACACGAAGATCTAACCTCTGACTCACTGCGTTTCTATTTTCTCAGTATAATTTATTATTAAAAATTGTGGTATTGAACTCCAGAGCGGTGGAATCATTTTTCCTGCAATGACAACCTCAAACCTCTCCTAATTCCACGTATATTTTTATTGATTAAGGTTATCATTTTATTCAAGAACTACAGTTAATTCTTTACCTCATAAAACTAAACCGCCTGATCCCGGTTAAATTCGGTGTACGCAGGGTGACTAAACTGGCAAATTTACTACTTAAAACGATCGTTCAATCGGGACGTAACTGTACGTTACGTTAGTAAGATCATAAATGTTTTCCAAAGTAAACGCTACCAAGCGGATCAGCGACTGGTGAAATTTGTGCGGACACACACTTGCTGGTACAAACTTGCGAATGCAGCGTGGAACGGCTGGAACGAGACGGTGAAGAGTGCTCTGTCCGCAAAGGGTAAAGGAGAAATCCGCCGAAAATAAATGATGATAGACGATAGAGGGGTATAGCGTACGTATATAAATATATCATATGACAAAAAGAAGTATAGTTTCAAAATTGTGTTAAGAAGTACGACGTGAAAAATAGAACAAAATACGACGATAATTAGTTAATGATTCGAGAGATTATAGACATTTACAATTCTATCATATTACATTTCATTTTTCTTTATCTACTATATCTGTTTAAATAAATGTATATCTAGTTATATATAATTCTTTTTCATTTTTCTTCAAATATTACATAAAGCTAATAATGATGATATTAAATAATAATAAATAAATTTTATCTTTACACCATAATTGATACTAATATTAATACTATTATACTATACTAAGATTCATGTGTGATGCAACTTTTACAAATGATTTACATTTGTTGAAAAAGTTTTTATTTTGCTTAAAGAATATATTTCCAAAATTATTCACATTTATTAATAACAAATGTTATTTTAATAACAAGAAAACAATTAATATGATATATATATATACCTACATATAGATTCATATCTGGAATAACTCTATAAATCATATTCTGTTGGAGAATCAAAGCGCCCGCCTTTTCTTTTAAATGCGACTAATTACCGAGGGGTGGCAGCATCTACCGGTATAACTCATTAGGAGGAAAACCGAGCATTGCTCACGCCTGCGCTTTGATAGATTCCATGCTTCTTCTTTTCCGGCAAWTTTCACATTCATTCCATCTTAGAAGAAGATAACGTGAACAAGTCTTTTAAGAAGCAATGTTCTTTTTGGCTTTTTTCAACGACTTTCGCCATCTTGGATTCTCGCGTATAGTTAGTTAATTGAAATTCAGTCTACGGTTTAATTGCTTGTACAAAAGGGTAGTTCATATTCAGTCAATTTTTACGTTACTCAATTTGGTGCCGGTTAGCTGCTAGAACTGTAGGTGCAGCTGCTGCTCAACTTGAAAGCTCAATTGAAAGTCAGGTAAGCGATTATTTCAGCTTTGATGAGAACAAATCAACGATCCTCTTATCGAATGTGAGGTGATTTGTCTTTCTCGCTTACACTTTTGTGTTCGGATCTGCTCACCCGACTACATTTATAAATTTGCGACTCATTTCCATTTATCTCGCATTTTTTTCCTTCTTATAATATCTTCTCCTCATTACCATCTCTCATCGTTAAGATWC